AAACCATTTTGTAATATTAAACTCAATTAGCCTCTCCTCGATACTCATATTTGCCAGGAATTAGTGTCTAACCAGAAATCGCAATACACTTTGTGAAACTCGAAGGGTTTATTTTGAGAATCCACAAGATTAAGGGGCATCTACATATCTCTACTTGGTCCTTAAATATTATCTTATATATAAAATTGACCTGACTTTTTTTGCTATTGAAACCAAGTAAAGATAAATAGAACCCTAGTAGTTAGTTTGAGGTAATGGATAACTCATGCGGCTACTATTTTTATACAAGTGACTAACTCTTTTCAGGCAAATCGAGTTTAAGCAAGCCTCTTCTTAATATTAGAGTATGATAAGCTTTTAGGGATATGACAGTGGGCCGGAACCTTATAAATTCACAAGGCCCGATTTCACCATACAATAATGACATCAACCTAAGTATAGTTTTATAAACTCTTTTCTCTGTTTCTTACCAAATCACTACTTTATCTATGCTTCAAGTTTGTTACACGAAGTGTAAAATAAATTTTCTTTGTATATAGACTGCGACCACACAAAAGGCCGCACCATCTTGGTCTTCATACCTTCGAATAAATTTTCTATATTCAATGCAAAATTAAATTATTTGACTTTAGTTGAGTATTTTCATTGCTTATGGTAAATAAAATGGTAGGTTGGAATTGTTAGTAATGATCAGTATAGCCAGCTCCTTCATTTGTTTATATTTTTTTCACCCTTTGTATGCCAATCTTAATATCTGCAAATATGCGTATAATTCCACCGTAGCGGTGACCCGCAACCACTGCCAGCTGCGCCGATTACCTAGCTTTCAGTCCCGTGTGGAACATTCCGGCTTGACCGCACTCAACGCGCTACTTAGTCCTGACTGCCTACTTGGAATCTACTCTAGTAGCCCGTTTCTGCAGCCGGCCCGCCTTCTTCGGCGTGTCCAGTTCTGTGCCAGTCCCTTGCCCGTGGCAGCGACATCTGGAGAAGCTACCGGGCAAACTGTGGTCCCACATACCACTACTACCGACCCTGAGCAAATGGTAATCCAGCTGCGCGAAATGGCGAATGCCCAAGTGGCCCGGTTACCTGGAGTCGCACGCCTTCTCGCTACCCCACCAATTTTCACGGGCCAACAGCAGCAAATGGCTGTTGGACTACCTACTGCAGCTCATCTTGGTTTCGCCACGGGTCACGCAACGCATCGATTCTCTGTTAGTTTAGACCGCGGACTCGTCGACTTGCTTATCTCCCAGGCATCACAAAAGACGCCTCGACCCGGCGAAGCCAGGTGAGTGGCCCGGTTCTTCTTAATAGCCTCCCATTTTTTCAGACCTGGTCTTGTTATTCTAGGCAGCTCTTGCTGTAAAAGACCCTTAAAATCTGTAATACAATATTTATACTTTCATTTGACCTAAAAATTATACTTATATTCCCCTGATTGATATATAGTAAATGGTGTAACTTCCATTTATTTTTCATTATTCCTATTTTATCAATTCTTATCGCTAGCATTTGCACACACTACGAGCATAATGCTTTCGTTCTCACGCATATAATGCCTCCTAGCTCCCTAGCACAAAATTAGTTCATTCAGATCCTAGTTTTTCCACATATTTTTTTCTATCTTTCTGATTTTGAGGCCAATTACTTATTCCATTGCTTTCAAACGCCTCATTGACCATACCTATCCTGTTGTCCGCATTCTCAATATTTTAGTTCCAGTACCTTCATCTCACCACATTCAAATTAAATTATAATATCGCTGGCGAATAATTACTTTGCGGCTGTTTTGTTCGTTAATCGGAATAAGTAGGTGTCAGTAGACTTTGAATAAAAGCTTTTGCAACCTTAGGTCGGTTAAGGTGATGAAGAACTTATAGTGAATTTTTCAACCATGCTATAAATAGGCTTCACGATGTTATTGAATTTCACTTTGACTTACGACAGCACAGTAGGAGGTAACTTTTAAGACTATCACTACTTCTTAAATAAGAGCCTAATCATCCAAGATCGCTTAAAGGGATTTAAGAACTGCTAGTTAGGTTTTCTCATATTGAGATGGATAGGCCGTATAGACATATATTTCTCATTATAAATCTTGATGTTTTAACCTCGTTGATGAAATTGCCTTCTGCTTTTTCATTACTCTGCCATTAATTATTAAAAATGTAAACATTTAAGCTTCCCTTATACAGATTTTTTCCTATACTTGACTAGGTGTTGACTTAATTTATACTACTTCTGAAGATGTATGATTTTAGCCACATTATCCTGCCTTGACGATTTTATTATATTATATCAAACATATGTTTATTATCGCACGTTATCAAATCACTTCATATATCTATTCTCACTAATGAAAAAATGCTGTCTACTTTGCATTTAGGGAGGTCATTTACCGAATTTCATTATGACTTACTTATAAGTAGTGCGCGTCCATAAGCGATTCCACTCTTTTATTGGACCGCTTTCTGTAGCCTAGCCTCTCTTGCTATCGATCTTTTTCGACTGAATTTCCTTTCCATGCAGAAGAACCACTCGCGAATATCATTCATCCCATATGTGTCCTACACCTCACACAAACACATGAACGGACATACGCGCAGACGGTCTTGTGTACGCATTGATTTATACGTGGGCAAAGACTGAGATGGTTGCATATGTCTTAACGCCCAAACCGAGACTCACCGCGAGCAGACATCCTCAGGTCCTCTTCATAGGCACAGGCGTGCAAAAATACCGGCCTGCACCGAAAGTGTATGATTATTCAGACGGGAGTTTGGCGGACTGGAGGCGCTTTTATCGATTTATCGATTTTTATCTTCAATCTATAATGAAAGAGCTGGCTTCATGCCTTTGTCATTCAGCTATCTATAAGGGCAGGCAGGACAGAGGCGACAGGAACCCGGGCGCTTGTACACAATTCAATAAATCGATTTATTAATTGTCCAATCAGGTCTCTATGCTTGGCTTGCTGTCTGTCTGCGGCTTCGAGTTCTGGGCTTCGATGGAGATATTTAGGCCTGAGACTATTCCACTAGAAAAAATCGATTCTGCCTGCATATTCTCTTGCAAATCTATCCATCATGATGGATAGATTCGACTATCGTCTTAATTTGATTGGTTCGGTATGTCTGGTGTCTGTCTATTCTTCACCCAATCAGATTCATGTCTACACAGACAGACAGACATCCTGAGGTGATCTTGTCAGGTCGTTCACATGGTGACGACATGACCTTTAATTCGTGGCTGTCCCGATTTATGCATTTATTCATATTAATTAGTTTGTGTTAGGGTGTATTTGCCAATGTCCATTCTTAGTTTAAATTCTGAGAATTAAACTGTTATATTCATCACATTTTTATACCCATGTTATATATTTTAATCGTTAGTCCAAATCATTTTTTGATTGCTTGTTTGGTGCTACTTATAAATACTATGTTTTAATGTCTAAGAAGGCTCACATTTTACATCGGCTCCTTAAATCATCTGCTTGCCCTAACGATTAAAAACAGGTGAAAAATAAATTTTATCCAATCTTTATTTTACTTTATTTTACTTACTACTCATACATCATTAGTAGAACATCATATATAATTTAATTATTCTCATTGAAGATTATATCGTCGACAGTGCTTTAACTGCAAA